GCTGGCAGTTGGCAGAATTAGCTTACAATACTGCCTTCTAAGCACTGCGCCACCATGGCTCTATGTCCTAATAACATTTCATTCTATTTTTTTGTTTTGTTTTAGTGAATCTTCTCTCCCTCTCCTTGTTTCTCTTCTTTTCTTTGATGATGTCCTTTCCTGACTAAGAGAAAGAGAGACAGGACAGAATACCATATTTTACAATGTTAACACCGTAAACTTACCCTGTTGACAAATATATATGCATAAATAATCATACATTTCTGATATGGTCCTCTGAGCCCAATTAAAGGATACTTCAGAGTAAAGTGAGCCTGAAATTTAATAAATGCTATCCAGATTGTACTTCAGATAAGGAACTGTAAGCAGAGCTAATTAATCTCAGGAACCCTAAATAGCCTATCCTGACTCTGTGTCAGTGCACTGTGGATATCTCTTAATCGGGGAATGCAAAAAATATTATACTAGACATTAGGTTGGAGATGCTGGCTTACATAGATGAGCATGAAGCATGCATGGATAAAAGGGAGCTTTGATTACATTTAATTAGATTTGTAGTACATTGATTGAAATGTACAAAAAATATATAGGTACGTACAGTTCTTTTGCTGCAGAAAATCTGCATATGGAAACAGATATATATATATAAAGCTGATAACTTAGTTTACTTTTTCCACTATCTTGCTAAAATGTATTAGGTGAAAATCCAAATTCACCAAAGCCATGATGGATAGCAGAACCAATTTGTAAAGGCCCATCTATTGACAGAATAACATAAGAAAAATTATGATTTGGAATGTATGTATGAATAAATGGCAAAAAGCGTGAATTAATGACTGAAAAGAAAGAAAATCGATTAAGATGGAAAAACTAAGAGAATGGATATAACAACTGAAGAAGATAGTCTTGATCTTTTGATTTATTTATTAAATATATATGCCACCCATCTCACTATCCAAAGGGTTTGTGGGGGCTAATGGAAATGATAAATAGATGACACAGGAAAATAAAGGTGTAGGTTTAATTATGAATGAAATAGCTAAATGTATGTTGAAAGAATGAATTGATGTCATCTTGGGTATTGTGAATGCATATGAAAGTAGGGATTTATAAGTTGGTCACATGTTTCTGCATGTTGCAATATATGGTTAACAGCAGAAAAAACAGGAATGAGTTTTGATTAAAATTGCACAAAATGGATCATAATAATTGGATCCAAGTGAAAATATAATTCTGGGGATGACATGAATGGATGGCTGGAATGAGCACTGCAAAGAAAAAGTGACTGATTACTCAGAGATCCAAGAATGAATTAGAAAAATATTTATTCAGTGTGTATCGATTAAAAAAAGTTATTTTGAATATAAACATCAGTGCATTCATGTGTGCATATGAAAAAAAGAATGAATCAAGTGTAACTAATGAGGTTGTTTTTGATAAAATATTGAGAGAATCAATGAAGGACACAAAGATAAAGATGATTAGGATGACGACAACAACAATAGGCTTTTGTGGTGTGTGTCTGTGTGTGTGTGTGTGTGTGAAAGAGAGAGAGAATATTACTGTAGAAATGCAATCAAAGACAGCAAGGAAAGGTTAAGTTTAGAAAAGGCTGATAATAAAATGCAGAACTGTTTTAATGAGAATGAAAAGTGGTTTTGCAAGAGGGTGGAAAAGGCTAAACAAAGAATCTCTCCCATGATAAAATTATTTAGAATGAAATTCAAGTAAAGGGGTGCTGGAAGAAGTATTTCAGAGATTTCTATTTCAGAATGATAGCAATGTGTGAAAGGCTGAAACTGAAATTAATGCTATCTTGATGTTCAAGAAAGATTGAGGGCAAGGAAGGTAATAAATTATGTGACAATGTTGAAAAATAGTAAGGCTGCAGATGTAGGTGGCAAAACTAAACAACTATTAAAATATGAATGTAGTTTATTTAGGAAGAATGTCTAGCTTACATACTGTTTGTGTAAAAACTGCATCTGTGTTTGATTATTGAAAGACTGCTGCTTGCCTTATCTTATAAAAACACAAGATAGCAAGAGATAATGCAAAAACATGGAAAAATGGAAGACTTGATCATGTCCATCATCTCATCCCTCCTTGAAGGTGCCCCAAACACTGGTTTCTTTTCAGATCATATAAATCTCTCCCTATCCCCCCTTTTTTAAAGTATTCATGGAAATTTTAGCAGCATTTTGACTGAAAATATACAAGAAGTAATGGTGAGCAAAATTTGGAAAATGTGGTGTGGCTTTATGCTGGATGCAAGGTGTGCAGACCAGGATGACATGGTTCCGAAAAGAAGTAGCTTTTCAAAGAACTTTGAGGCTTATTTACCTTAAAGAATCCTTTATTTTGCTACATAGCTTCGGCACGAACAATAAAAAGCCAAAAACTGAACCTCCCACCCCCAAGCACCTGTAACAACGCATAACTCACTCCTTCATTTTACAGTCATCAATCATATGCTCCAATTAGTTTGAAGTGTGAATTGCTCCCTCCCTATTTCTCCTGTTACGCTGACCTTGGCTGTGCTATGCTGAGATATTGTTATGATTAGCTGGCATACTTTCCCACCTACTAGGCTAGTATCGTCTGCTTTAATTCTAGAAGTGATATGTAGGCTAAATAAAACATGTTTGCTTCTTCACATATGGCAAGCAAGAACATCCAATGTTAGCAGACTTGACACAGCATGTCATTGAGACCTGTGTTAATCTGATAAATTGTATTGTCAACTGTTGATTTTTAGAGAAAGCATATGATAAACTGAATGGACAATGTTGAGTTAGATGATGTTTTATGTGACTGTAATTGAAAGTTGCATAATATGGTTGTTTAATATGGTTGTTTAATATGGTTACAGACCTGGGGTATATCCTGGAAATAAAACATATGAAAGAACAAACAGAATGATAAGCAAAAGACTCTACAGAGCAGGGAGTAAGAATGAGATTCTCCTTGGTTCTTCAATAGATTTCTGTAAGGAACATTTTTAGTAATGTCAGGGATATATGTTCACTGGGGATGTGAATGTACCTATACTTTTGTATGCTATTGGTTCAAGACCTGAATGACTGAGACGTTCACATAGATGGTACAACAGAATGAAGATTATGGATTTGGAAATTAATGTATCAAAGGCTAGGGCAGTTTCACTGAAGAAGACAAATGGAATGAACAATTATATGGTATATTCATAAGTGAAAAAAAAAATTAGAACAAGGAGATGAATCAGTGTTTCTTGGAAACATCTTTATTAAATGATGGGGAAATGGATGAAGAAATTTTCACATGTGTAAATGCTGGAAGAGCCTGATGTCCTTGAAATTCCATCTGGTGGACTTGGACCATTAAGTAAGTTAGCCTAATTCATACCTATGGATGCAGTGGGATGTATCTTGAATTCCCAGTGGTGCTTGCAAGATGCAAACCCTGTCTACTTTTTTGTCATAATCGTGGAAATTTTGCTTATTTTAAATAAACAATATTTATTAAAAAGTATGCATTTTTTACTTTTTTAGATGCCCCAGTGTTACACTTCCTCTCAGTGATCAGGCTGCTATATATCTTAGTAGCTTTTTCAGGTGAATACATGGGGATGGGGAGCAGGAGGGGAACAAATGGGGAAATCTATTCCTTCAAACTTATTGCAGCTCTCTGGATTCTGCTGAAGTGCAATTCCCAGAGGCCGCAACAGCACGACCAGTTGTTGTAGTTCAGCAACATCTGGTAAGCTGGGTTTTCCCTCCACTATACTGAAAGCTCTAGAACTGTGCAGATTTGGGGAACAGAGGTTCTTCCAGGTCAATTAAGTAAGATAAAGTAGATACGACACGTATTATTCTTGACCAGAGGTAAAATTCTTGAGCAGAAGTAAAAGCATGTTGTAAGATGCCCAGAGTCACTTGATAGCAAGATCAGTGGTATACAAAACAAACAAACAAACAAACAAACAAACAAACGAAGCATGAATGTAATACTTCAACAAGTTCCCACCTCCAAAACATTCTCCTTCCCAAGTTTGAACATACAAATAAATATAATCAGACTCCAATAATGTTTTTAGGGGCGGGTATTAAATTATTTCTATAGAAAATTCCTTCCTTCCTTCCTTCCTTCCTTCCTTCCTTCCTTCCTTCCTTCCTTCCTTCCTTCCTTCCTTCCTTCCTTCCTTCCTCAAATTAGGAAGCACTGTCAATCTTTCCAGCTAAGCCCTAGTTTTGACACGAGAGAGATGGACCGGAGGAGAGGATTGGCTAGGGTGGCCAAGGAAAAATCTAAGCGGTAGCGACACCGGAGTTAAAAAAAACACGTGGGGACAGCGCCTGGGTGGAAGTCGCGGGGATCCTGCGATAAGCATCCTTGAACTTTAAGCAGACAATTGCCAGGGCTTGGCTCTTCCCTAGTGTTCAACCCTCTCCACCACCCCCGTCCCCCCCCCCCCTTGCACCGCCTGTCAAAGATGAAGGGGGCTGCTGATCAAAACCAGAAAGCAATTCTCTTCTTCGGGGGGGGGAAGAGGGAAAATCCCGTCAGAGGAGCCACCTCGCCTAAGGATGGGGACGAGCTTCCTCCTTCCAAGCTTGCCTTTCTCCAGCCCAGACCCGGCTAGGCGCGACAGCAGCACTCCTTCGCCCTCGGGCATCATCACATCGCTCCCTCGTTGGGCGGAAGGGAAAACCGACCTCTGGTTTTGCTTGCATTGTAGGCTTGCATTATAGGAGGGCTCCCCGTATTCCTTAACTGGCTCGGGATGGGGAGATGGAGTTCAGGACGAGTGTCTCTCTCTCTCCGCCCCCCCCCCCCCATCTAGCCAGCCAGCCAGCCAGCCAGCCCCGGTTAGCGGAGGGGCTAGAAACGAGCAAGCGACCCCGCGCCACCACAGCCCACCCGTGGGCGACGCTTGCCTTCGCCCGGCTCTCTCGTCCAGCCCAGCCTCTTCCCCCGCCCGCAGTTGCCGAGACAAAAGGCTCTCCCGAGATCTGGCTTACGTGGGGGCCGCGGGGGCTTTGAGGCGTCCGGCGGTGCTGCTCGTGGCTCCCCATGGCGCGGAGCGGGGTTTTTTTTTTTTCCCCCCCTTGCCCTTCTGCTGCTGCTGGCTGAAGGAAGCGGGCCACTCTTGCCTCTTTCTGGCGAGGCTCCGCCGGGCACCTGAATTCCATGCCCCGCATTAAGCCCGCCCCCCTCGGAAAGTCACCGAGAGAAAGATCTGACTCATTTGCCGGCCCTTTCGGGCAGCAACAGGATGTCAGCTTGAGGCTGCCTTTCAGATGGGAGGCACAGAGCTGGGCTCTCTCCTCGGAAAAGCGCTTTCAAGCATTGACACTGACGTCTGACGTTAACGTTTTTCCTCCAAGCCAGGCCTTCGCGCTTGGCAGAGCAAGAGAGCCTTTACAGCCCCCTGGTGCCCTCGCGAATATAATGCCCAAATGCTTCCAGCCTGGGAGCAGGTCAATAAAAATATCTGATGCTAACATAAAAAACAAAAAACAAAACTATAAGCAGATTTTGCATTTACAGTACCTCTTAGGCAGTGGTTCTCAACCTTTTTAATGCCGCGACCCCAACTGGTCGTAAGTCGAGGACTAAACCGGTCGTAAGTCGAGGACTAAACCGGTCGTAAGTCGAGGACTAAACCGGTCGTAAGTCGAGGACCAGAGGCGTAGCGTGGGGGGTGCAGGGGGGGCCGGCCGCACCGGGCGCAACATCTGGGGGGGCACGCTCCCACTCGCAGCTCTCTGCCCCTGCCTGTGCAAATCCGATCCNTCCGCCCCCTGCGCCGGCCGAGGCGTAGCTGGCAAGCGGCAGAGACGGAGCAGGCCGACCACCAGCTGGCCCAGCCCAAGGGAGGTAAGGCACCCGCCGGAAAAGGGGGAAAAAATGGCGGACAGCCTTGCTTGGCGACCCCCGTGAAATGGTCGATCGACCCCAAATGGGGTCCCGACCCACAGGTTGAGAACCACTGCTCTTAGGGAAGAAGAGGCAGCCCCAAAGCCTGAATGTTGTTAGTACAGCCAGTCTTTTGAGTTACAATCACAACTGAGCCCAACATTTCTGTTGCTAAGCAAGACAGTTGTTAAATCAGTTTTGTCCCCGTTTTACGACTTTTCTCGCCGCAGGTGAGTCAATCGCGGCTTCCCTCATTGACTTTGCTTGTCAGAAGGCCGCAAAAGGTAATCACATGACCCCGGGACACTGCGACCGTGACCGCTATAAATATGAACCAGCTGCCACACAGCTCAGTTTTGACCACACAACCATGGGGGATGCTGCAATGGTTGTGTGAAAAAGGGTGTAAGTCACTTTTTTCAGGGCCTTTGTAACTTCGATTGGTTATAAGTTGAGAACTACCTGTGCTTAGTATCTGAAGCCACTTTAGGATTATGGAAAGTACTTCTGAGAACGAACAAGGCAAAGTCACCTTAAGTGCTGAGATAATATCAATAGTGTATTTTAGGGAAATGCCCTTATTTAAATTGGCAGCGTTTGTTAGTTGGCAGGAAAAGTGTTTAGAATTGCAACCTCAATCAATTCAAGTCAGCTTGATTAGCTCAAAACATTCATTTATCAACAGATTCTTCATGATTTTATAACATATTCTTAGAATATATTCTATCATCTGCAACATAAACCTTTTTCTAAGAGATGAATCATCTCTGAGCAAAGAAACTATTTGTGTTTGTTTTAGTTTTATGACACCTTTTAAAACCAAGTTTGCCAGGTGGCCTGCAATATACTAAACCAATAGAATAAAATAAAGATAAAACACAGTGCCTCAAATGCATTGCCCTAAATTGGTAAAATAATAGATGAAAGGGGAATAATGAAATACCCACATTGGAAGAATGGATTGTGAAAATGCCAAAAATTTCAGAAATGTCAAAACTGAGTAATTGGGTCAGAGAACAAACAAGAAAAACTGTCTTTGAAAGTTTAGAAGCCTTATGCAGGCTTTTTGCTAAAAGAAGAAAAAATGAATTGATTTATGGATTTGTAGACTAAGAAAGAGGAGGACTAAATGAAGGGGCACTTAAGAAGGAGGAGACAATATGAAATTATCTGTTAAAAAAGAAGCTTGGAAAAATCTATATACTTCTTAACTTTGGTTTTCTTTTTCTTTTCTTGTGCACTTCTTGTTTTTCTCCCCTTTTTTTCTTTTGGTTTGTTGTTACATGAAATTTTTCAATAAATATAATTTTAAAAAATGGTAAAATAATGGAACGATAGCAGCAGCAGCAGCAGCTCAAGGAACTAAAATGGCAAAATAATAGAACAATAATATTAGCAGCAGCATTTCAAAATAGCAAATACATTTGGAAGAATAGCAAGAACATTTAAAACCTGATGAAAATATGCGGAAGTATAAAAAAGGCATTCCTCTTCTGCTGGAGATGCAACAAAGTTGGTGCAGACAGTGTTTACTTGAGGATGCTGCAAAATTGGGTGTGGTACGCACACTTTAAAGGAGGAGGGTACCTGGTTCAGGGCTTCTGAAAATGACTTTCAGGTAATAGGCTGTTATTCCTAGCAGAAGCAGATGTGTGCATATTTAATCCATTAAAGGCACAGTAATTAAGTCTAGTGACATCTTCAAGTTGCCTTCGCAAGTTCTCTTTTCATGTTCTTTGGGTGTTTTCTGATGGCGACACCATTCTTTATTAGGAACCGTTCTAATCATACTATTTTGGAAACATCTGCATTTCAACTTACCTAGAGATGAATGAGAACCAATTTGGAGTAGTGGGGAAAGGCCTCAGGCTATCTGGGTGACCTTGAGTCAGTCACTCTTCTCAATCCTAGGAAGAAGAGAAAGGCAAACCACTTCTAAAAATCTTGCCAAGAAAACTGCAAGAACTTGTCCAAGTAGTAGCCAGGAGTCAAAAACCAGCTTGAAAACAGAAATAAAAATGAACAAAATGGAGATGAACTTCTCCTTGAGAATTCAAGAGCCCTAATTCCCTTTGCCAACTTATTTCAAGTTGGCCGTACATCAGAGCAATCTTGTAGGATGAGAGGCTAAGAGACCGCCTTCTGCCACAGATTCCCTCCCATAGACCGGTACGCTCCCACAGAGTGGGTCTCCTCAGGGTGCCGTCGGCCAAACAATGTCGGCACCGCTGGGGGTCCCCCTCCCGGAAGAGACACCCACGGGGGTGGGAGACCTTGCTTGATGGGGGGCTCTAGGCCTGCTAAGGCCTAGAGGAATGGAAGGCGGCACGCCTCAAGACATGGCTTTTCCAGCAAGCGGGCCTGACCTAGGGAGGATTTTATTTAGGGATGATTTTAAGAATAATTTTAAATAGAAACACAGCCTCTAATATTTGGTTTTTAATCTGGTTTTATAGGGGTTTATATTTTTTATGTTTTGTATTTGTACTGTTTTAATATGCTGTGCACCGCCCTGAGTCCTGCGGGAGAAGGGCGGTATATAAATTAAATTATAATAATAATAATAATAAATTAAATTATAATAATAATAATAATAATACTGATACCTGTGAAGACCAAATTCTATGAATCAGGGGTCACCCAGTATGATTAGGGCCTAAGAGTCTTATTAACACAGTGGACTGTGTCTTCCTTACAGACTAAACTATGGCGGGTGCATAGAAATTGTACATAGGTGCCAAAGAAATGTCATTTTTCCTCAGAATAACAGCAAGAGAATGTTATTTTGATGCTCAGGGATTTATTTTTTTAAACCCTGCCTTTATTATTTTTAGGTACATTAAGTTGGCAAGGATATATAATATTTCTTCCTCTTCTTATTTTCCCACAACGACATTAACCCTGTAAGATGGTCTGAGACAGGGGTAGGGAACCTTGGCTCTTTTATGACTTGTGGACTTCAACTCCCAAAATTCCTGAGTCAGCATGGCTGATTCAGGAATTTTGGGTAGTGAAGTCCACAAGTCATAAAAGAGTCAAGGTTTCCTACCCCTGGTCTGAGAGAATGTCACTGACCTAAGGTCACCCAGCCAACTGCCATGTCTAAGATGGGACTAGAACTCACAGTCTCCTGGTTTCTAGACCAGCACCTTAACCATTACACCAAACTGACTCTTAATTAGTAGTAAGGGAATCTTGAAGAAATCCTAAAACTGTTAGAGATAGATCTTAGAGGAGAAAGGGTCTTGAAATTGAGAATCCATAACTTAAGTAACTACTGAGAGCCACTGAATGTGTAGTCTTTGCCCTTGCTTATAATTATGTTTAGGAGAGTAGTACAATCATGAAAAGTAGGTGGTGGACTTGGATCAGCTCCAAGATCAAATTGCTGATTTACTAGACTGTTCCTTCCTGATATTGTATAATTAGCTACACAATTAATATGTCATTAGTTGCCTGCAAACTGCTCTCGGTAGATTCAGGTTGATGATCTTCAGATAATATTTCATGTACAAATTTATTCTAGCTCCTCCTTAACAACCAAAGTGTAATTGTTATAAGTAAGAGTTCCTAAAACTGCAGTCTCCAGAGCAATGCTACAAGAGAAAAAGTGTATATAATAACAAAACATCTTCCAACCCTGACTTGGAGTAATGAAGCCATTTGTCATTAAGAGATCATAAAGTTCATTTAACTGTTCTAATAAGATGTCTCATTTCAGGCAAATAATTCTTGACAGAAATTCATTTATCTGCCATTACTGCTTAATCTTACTTTCTAGGACTAAAATAAGGACAGGCAGAAAAGTTCCACAATGTAATGTGAAACACAAGCCATAGAATCTTAGTTTGCTTTACAAATAGCAGCCAAAATACTAGCCAATGTGATGCAAAAATATTCCTGATAATTCTGTAAAATTTTCAGAAGCAAAGGAAGTTGCTGGATGAGTGGGGAGCATTTCAGCGACTTGCGTACATTCTTCATGTCCACAGTTAATACAATAACAGGACTGAAAAACAGACTAATAGAGAGATCTACTTATAAAACAGACATTATACAGACCACTTAGCATAAATAATGGGCTTTCAGTTTTTCTTATTGGAAATGTGAGGTTTCCTTAGTAAAGAATTTTGGTTTTTTAAATAACTCATTAAATTCAATAATG